CAAAGCCCTATGCTTACTTACCCCTGTTTCCCGTAAGCGGATAGTATCACTCTCCATGCTGTGCTGCCTGGAGTTGTGGAAGGGGTAATGCGGGTAAGCTATAGTCAGGTACTATGATGTCTCATCTGGTTTCATTAGCTCTTGTGAAGCTTTTACGTGGATAGTTCAAATTGATGTTTCTGCAGGGGGACAATCATTGGAGAGTCCTTTTGCACCCTCTTGCTTCTTTCTCCTTCCATGTAGTAATTGAGAGCATTAGGCAGTTACTTAAGCTGACATCATGAAAGACTTGTCAGGGTTTCAGTGTTCTCACCCTGTAAATTGGGAATATTGTCTACCTAAAATTCAGTTGTAAGGGTAAAACAGAGGTAAATAAAGAGTAGTATTGTACCTGCTAAATAATAGGCATACTATAAATAGTAACTGTTTTTATTATATATTATTGCCTTAGTAATAGTATCTTTACTATAATATTTTTTAAGTATATACTTTTGATATATGTATAGTTATTTCTAAATTATGTGCAAATTCTGTTGTGAGTCAATATGTTTAATAAAGTAAAATCTCTTAATTTTTGGATAAAAATCACATTTTTTTCCCCTCATACCTTGCAAACTCCCTGAGGTATGTTAACCACCCTCTGGAGACCATTGCCATAGAGTACAGAACAAGTACCTACCAGGAAACTTCACAAAGTAACAGGTTTTGGCACAAGAAAAGAAAAAACATCTTCAATTTTTGAGCCCACAAGTGATTTGATAACAGCATTGCTTTAGAAAGATTAATATGATATTAAGTTGCAGGATAGATTAGAGGAAAAAAGCCTAAAATTTAAAAAGTAGGTATTCTGATGTTTACTATTTTAGTTACTGGTTTTATTAGTCACCCTGTGAGTCTATTCTTTATTCTTTCCTGTCCCTCATCCCAACTATTAATTCTTCCTTCTCAATTTTTTTTTATCTGTCATCCCTTCCAGCCTCACTCTTGGGGTTATCTCTTTATTTAATTACTCTAACATCCTTCTAATTTTTCCCAAACTCAAATCCCAGTGGAAAATTCTCAGTAGTTCCCCAGTATTTTCAGGTTATTAAAACCGAATGCCTTTGTCTTTTGAGTATAAGACTTTACTAAGCAGTGCCTTCTAGATTACCAGCTTTATGTCTTACAACTTTACCATTTTTTTCCCCTGACTTTGGACTACTTAGCAATCTTTAAATATACCATGTTCCCTCATCCTTTCATTCTGCTGCATAGACTGTTATGTTTGCTTTAGCATACCCTTCTTCTTCTTCCTGTCCTAGCGGCTTCTTAGCTTTCAAGACTCTTCTGTCTTTAATTCCTCCAGTCTAACTTAGATGCTCCCAGAATATCCTGTGCTCACTTGTATTGTAAGGTACTGTGATGATCACTTCACGGAATGAAAGAAAAATCATTTACAGCAATACGGCACAGTGGTTTCTTATTGATGTAGTCTAGGTTCAGTTATTCACTAGCCAAGAGACCTTGATCAAATTATTTAGCTTTTCTAAGTGTTTTGTTTTTGTATAGTAATGCCTATCTCATCATCTTCCTATTGTGCTGAGGATATGCAATAACATTTGTACAACACTTAGCACATTATCTGGTACAGCAAATGTTGACATTCAGTAAATGCTGTATGTCAGTATTGTTAATTATTATGCTGGTACTTGTTTGACAGTAAAATGAGCTGCCTTGTGATGTAGTCTCTGCATCAACATAGGTATTCACTTAGTGACTAGATATGTATCTTTCCTGGGGCAACAAAAGGGACACATATTAATATAAGGGAACTGGATTTGCCATCATCCTATCCCAAGTCCACAAAATTCTCTTCCCCTATCAAAATCTTTTCAAAGCCTGCCTTAAATGCCACTTTTAAGACATCGTATCTTAAAGTAGCCTGTTCCTCAATACTTTCATAATAATGTTTAACATACCACTCTTTATGATAAGCATTTATGTTCACAAAATGGGGTTCTTAGATAATTACCTAGCACAGTGTGTGACATAGTAAGCACTTAATAAATGGTAGATCCCTCCCTTCCTTAATCTGTTATTTGAACTTCATTCCATAGGCATTGGAAAGATTTTGACAGTTTTTGAACCCACAAATGATTTGATCACGATGTTGCTTTAGAAATATAATATGAAGGCCGGGTGTGGTCGCTGACACCTGTAATCCCAGCACTTTGGGAGGCCGAGGCGGGCAGATCACCTGAGGTCGGGAGTTCAAGACCAGCCTGGCCAACATGGAGAAACCCTGTCTCTACTAAAAATACAAAATTAGTCGGGCGTGGTGGCGCATGCCTGTAATCCCGGCTACTCGGGAGGCTGAGGCAGGAGAATCACTTGAACCGGGGAGGTGGAGTTTGCTATGAGCCAAGATCATGCCATTGCACTCCAGCCTGGGCAACAAGAGTGAAACTCCATCTCAAACAAAAAAGAAAGATTAATATGAGTTCAAGACCAGCCTGACCAACATTGAGAAACCCCGTCTCTACTAAAAGTACAAAATTGGCTGGGCGTGGTGGCGCATGCCTATAATTCCAGCTACTTCAGAGGCTGAGGCAGGAGAATTGCTTGAACCCGGGAAGCAGAGGTTGTGGTGAGCCAAGATCATGCCATTGCACTGCAGCCTGGGGAAGAAGAGTGAAAACTCCGTCTCAAAAAAAAAAAGAAATACTAATATGACATTAAGTTGAATGGATTGGAGGAAGAAACCCTAAGGACAAGACAAAAGTTAATGCACTAGTTCAATATTCATACCTCATTCAACACTTTCCAGTTCATATTTGGAAAGCAATGTGGTATACTGGGAGAACATAGGTTTTGTAGCTAGGTGTCCTGATAAAACAAATGTGAATAAGCCCATCACAGTCTAGCAGTTTATAATTTTTCCAGGGGGACCAGTGAAATAGTAGTTGAAAACTGTTTTGTACTTTTTCTTCATCACCCCACCCCCATATCATTGTGCAAATTGTTGCACATGTAGCATCAGGAAACACAGATGAGGGAATGTTATACTTTTAAACATGTATAGGAATTAATCTAGGAACTTACTGAATATCTTTGTGTTCCAGGTACTCTCATATGGATTATTTCATTTGCTTTTTCACAATAAAAAACTCTTTAAGTAAATGATGTTAACTCCATTTAACAGATAAGAAGAATGAAATGCCATCCTGGCTAACACGGTGAAACCCTGTCTCTACTACAAAATACAAAAAAACTAGCCGGGCGAGGTGGCGGGCGCCTGTAGTCCCAGCTACTCGGGAGGCTGAGGCAGGAGAATGGCGTGAACTTGGGAGGCGGAGCTTGCAGTGAGCTGAGATCCGGCCACTGCACTCCATAAGGGACAAAAGAAAGATGAGTGTTTAAAACCCAAGTCCGCCAAATATAAGTTTAATATTTAACCCACTATACTGCTGCTGCCATGAGGTAGCTAAATGCATGTACCCATTTCTGGCCCAAGTTAGTCTAAAGGGAAAGTAAGCCAAGTATAGTGTTCATAGATTATTAGCATATATCCATTTTGACCTCAGGGCTTTTATTTGTGTGTATGTGTATGTGTATACATACACACATATATATGTGCTGGATGACGAGGCCACGAGGAAGCCTCATTACAAGGAGTTCCGTAAGTTGGTAGAATACTCTCATGTGATTCTGGAACACATGTTATGTGTATGAAAAAATATTTAAAGAGAAGGGATATATATGTGTATATACATACATATATACATATACACACACACATATGTTTATATACATATACACATATATACACATACACACACACACACTCTCTCCCATCTAACCTTTGGGGAAAAAAAAATTAGTTTTTTTTTTTTTGAGACAAAGCCTCACTTTGTCACCTAGCCTGGAGTGCAGTGGCGCCATTTCGGCTCACTGTAACCTCTGCCTCCCGGGTTCAAGCAATTCTGTATCTCAGCCTCCTGAGTAGCTGGGATTACAGGCACCTGCCACCATGCCTGGCTAATTATTTTGTGTTTTTATCAGAGACAGGGTTTCACCATCTTGGCCAGGCTGGTCTTGAACTCCTGACCTTGTGATTCGCCTGCTTTGGCCTCCCAAAGTGCTGGGATTACAGGCGTGAGCCACCACACCCGGCCAACAAATCACTATTTAAACTTCAGTATTAGCCGTGACGACAAATGGATTTTGTTGATATGCATGATCATGATTCCCAAATGATTAGTTACTGGTTTTACACTCATCCCAAGCTTCTTATCAAAATTATTATCAGGAAGTAAACCCATCAATTTATTTAGCCCAAAGCTTCTCAAACTTGCATGAGCATACAGATTACCTAGGGATCTTGTTAAAATGAAGATGATTTTCAGTAGGATTGGGGTGGGGCCTGGAAGTCTGCATGTCTAACTGCTTCAGGTGATGCTCACACTACTGAGCCTGCACACTACACCTTTGGAGTACAAGTGTAGAATTTTAATTTTTGTCCCAAATACATAATTATTTATTTAAAGGTAAAACTACAGTGTGCAAACTATTTATGGTCTGTGCTTTTTTACACTTAGCCTTTATCCCTGTTTTCTGCATAAGTTTCATAATTATGATTTATATAAATCATAAAATTAATATGACATTAGGAATATACACCTATTCTCAGTTATTTCCCCATTCTAAATAATGCTGGATAGAATTCCTCTGGGCGTATAACTTTTGCTATTTAATTATTTCCTTAAGATAAATTCCCGGCCGCGTGCAGTGGCTCAGGCCTGTAATCCCGGTGGAGGGATTGGGAGGTCGAGGCAGGCAGATCACCAGGTCAGGTGATCGAGACCATCCTGGCTAACACAGTGAAACCCCATCTCTACTAAAAATACAAAAACTTAGCCGGGCATGGTGGCGGGCGCCTGTAGTCCCAGCTACTCGGGAGGCTGAGGCAGGAGAATGGCGTGAACCTGGGAGGCAGAGCTTGCAGTGAGCCGAGATCGCCGCCACTGCACTCTAGCCTGGGCGACAGAGTGAGACTTCGTCTCAACAACAACAACAACAAAAAAAGATAAATTCACAGGAGCAATTACCAAGTCAGGGGGTAAGAATATCTTTGCTGTTTAATGGGTAAAGTTTTGCAAGATGAAAAGAGCTCTAGAGATGGATAGCGATGAGAATTGCACAACATGAATGTACTTAATGCCATTGAGTACCATTAAAAATGGTTATGATGGTAAATTTTATGTTATGTGTATGAAAAAATTTTTAACTCTAAAGATAAGGGAGACACCGGCAGAGTCGGGCACCGCCAGGCTGGCATCTGGAAGTCCAAAGTCTGGACCCTAGCAGTGCAAGAACATCTGTTACCCTGTCTTCTCAGATCCCCGCCGGAAGTGTAGGAAGAGAGCAAGCAGATTTGAGCCTATCTGCTTTCAAGCTGGTGATCGTGATGAAACTTAGAAACAAAAGTGAAAAGCCAGGTAAAGGTTCCAAGGGCTGTAAGAAGCCTGCAAAACGAAATGGGAAGAAAGCAACCTCCAAAGTGCCCTCCGCTCCTCAGTTTGTTCATTCCAATGATCATGCCAATCAAGAGGCTGAATTAAAGAAGAGAGTTGAGGAGATGAGGGAGAAGCAAGCTGCCCAGGAGCAAGAAAGACAAAAACGCAGGTCTATCAAGAGCTACTGTGAGGATATCCTAACACGCCAGGAGGAGTTTGAGTGTAAGGAGGAAGTTGTGCAGGAATTAAATATGTTTCCTCAGCTGGATGACGAGGCCACGAGGAAGGCTTATTACAAGGAGTTCCGTAAGGTGGTAGAATACTCTGATGTGATTCTGGAAGTCCTGGATGCCAGAGACCCATTAGGCTGCTGCTGCTTCCAAATGGAGGAGGCTGTTCTATGGGCAGAAGGCAACAAGAAGCTGGTCCTGGTCTTGAACAAGATTGACCTGGACCCCAAGGAGGTTGTGAAGTGGCTGGATTACCTTCGGAATGAGTTGCCAACTGTGGCTTTCAAGGCCAGGACTCAGCATGTCAGCTTTGGAGCTGAAAATCTCATGAGGGTTCTGGGGAACTATTGCCACCTTGGTGAAGTGTGCACCCACATCAGTATGGGTGTTGTGGGCCTTCCCAATGTTGGGAAGAGCAGCCTGATTAATAGCCTGAAGCACAGCCATGCGTGCTGCGTGGGAGCCGTTGCTGGGGTCACGAAATTCATGCAGGAGGTCTACCTGGACAAGTTCATCTGGCTGCTGGATGCTCTAGCCATTGTCCCAGGGCCCAGCTCCGAGGTGGGCACCATTCTGCATAGTTGCATCCACGTGCAGAGGCTGGCAGACGCGGTAACCCCAGTGGAGACCATCTTGCAGAGCTGCAACCTGGAGATTTCCAACTATTACCTCCTCTCTGGGTACCAGACCACTGAGCACTTTCTGATGGCAGTGGCCTACCATTTGGGGAAGAGAGACTTATGCAGTCAGGAGCAGGCAGCCAAAGCTGTCCTAGCTGACTGGGTGAGCGGGAAGATCAGCTTCTATAACCACCACCACCCACTCACACTGCCTGCCTATCTCAGCACTGAGATCATTAAGGAAATGACCAAGGTCTTTCACATCGAGAATACTGAGCAGGTCAATGAAGACACCATGGAATGCTTGGCCACTGGAGAATCTGATGAGGTGTTGGGTGACTTGGACCCACTCAAAATGGAGATCAAGTTGCTCCATTATCCGATGATGAAAATAGCAGATGCCATTGAAAATAAAGCCACCATGTATAAGATCGGAGATTTCACTGGGTATTGCACCAATCCGAATCGTCATCAGAAGGGGTGGGGCTAAAGTCAATGTGGATCACCACCCTAAAAACAACAGTAAAGTGGATGTGTGCCCAGTGGACTGCTGCCCAGTACTGCGGAGGATCATGGGGATGGACTCCTTATAACAGGGCCAGGCTCTGGCATCCTCCCTAAAGAATAAGAATACGCAGAAATGTGCAGATAAAATCGCCAGGGAGCTGTCTGATTCCATGATGTCTGCCGTCAACCTCTCTGGCAATGTTGATGGCGGTGTTGATGACTAACTGTCTGATCTCACTTCCCTTCTGATCCAAGCACCAGTTCCAGTGGGACGGGGGATTACCAATGAAATAGTTTGGTTCTCCCTGAAGCATCTGCGCGTTAAAAGAACACTTCCACAACTATGTTTCTTTCTTCCCACTGTTCTCTGCACTCTCTCCAGGAAAAAGAGCCCCAAGAGACTGGAGCTGACAAACTCAATACCCTTTATTTAACCCCTACTCTGTTTTATAGCAGAAATAAAAGAAGTATCAGCAGGAAAAAAAAAGAAAAGAATATAACCCCCCCAAAAAAATACCATTCTTTTGAAAAGAATGGTTTTTGGGGGTATTACCCCCAAAAAATATTCTTGGGGGATAGTCTTTTGAAGCAATATTATTCTTTTGAAAAGAAAGAGCATTAATAAACCATTTGCCCTTTTAGAAAGATTTACCAAATTACACTGCCACCAACATGTTTACCTCGCTTGTACCAGTATTTAATGTCTTAACGTTTTTTAAATTTTTTGCTAAATGGTCTAAAATGATTCTTCAAGGTTGAAGTCTGTATTTTACTTCTATTAAGATTGAAAAGTAAACATTTACCTTTGTGGTTTTTTACTATTTGTATTTCCTCTTTTGTTAAATGTACATTCATGTCATTGGCCCTTCTGTCAACGTTGAACATTTTCCTTAAATTTAAAAGAGCCCTTTTTATAACATAATATTTTAAGTATTTCTCCTAGTCTTTGTTGTCTTTTAAATTTAGATTTAAGAGATGAGTAACTTTATGATTTTAATCCTACAGGTGAACTATGGAAAAGTTTGTAATAACAGTAAAAAAGGATTGAAATTCACTGTCTCCTGTGGCTGCAGTTCAGAATTTGTTTTTGTACCATATGGTAGCACCATTGCTGTTTATACAGTTTACTCAGGAGAACAGATAACTATGCTTAAGGGACATTATAAAACTGTTGACTGCTGTGTATTTCAGTCAAATTTCCAGGTAAGAATGATACAGGAATTGAAAATGTTCAGCTAGCTAGCTTGCCATACCAGTTATATGTAAAAGAATAAATTATGATTTCATTCTGAGGAGTTATACTTTTAATCCACATTTGTAGTAGGATTTATTTAATAGAGACTAGCACAGTCTAGATTTTTAGATGGCATACAAGATATGAATGAATCAATATAATGCTGTGCAACTTGATTGGTATGAATTCTCTTTCTTTTGCATATGACCTTCATTTATTTAACAATTGAAAATCTGTGGTGAATTAAAATAATTTCTTGCAAACAGTCTTTTGGGTAAGAAATGAAATACAGGCATTTAATTATAAAATATAATTTGTATATGTTGGTTTATGTATGTGTGAATTATCTATTCTTATTTTCTATCAATGGCTAATAAAGGGAGGTTTTGAAGTTAATACAACCTATATAATTTCTTAAATACCCTGACTTTTGTTTGTTTTACATCCAGACCTTTTCACATCACCAATGGAGCAGATCATTTTTCATTTTTTCAGAGAACATTTGCACAAATTACCTCATGTACTCCTTTAAATGAGTTTAACATTGCAAGATAGTTGGTATTTTCCCTGTTTTGTAGGTAAGGAAAATGAAACTCATGTAAGTTAAATACTGATAGAATGAAAATTACGGATTATTAGAGCTCCAGGAGACTATCACTTTGTGAATCTCCTATTCATTCATTCTTTAATACTGATTGCCTAATTTGTGGCTGACACTGTGCTGTAAGATATATAGACCTTATTTTTTAGCCAGTATATACCATTATGGCAGTATTCATTATTAAAATATTTAAATATTGATGTATCCTACTGGCTGGTAAACAGCTGCTGCACCAAGCCCCCCAAGTGACTGCCAGCCTCAGCCCCTTCCCTGGGACCTCTTAGACCTCACCTTAACCCAGCAACTAAAAGAGGACCTACAAGACCCTACTCCAACCCTATGGCCATTATCTCTTACTAGTCAGTAAGAAGGTGTATACCAGTTGTTAAACATTTTTAGTGTTCTGAGAGAAGAAAACTAAAGCACCAGAGAGGTGACATGACTTGCCCCTAACCTGCAAGTAGTTATTGATAACACATGTATTTGTATTCAAAGAAATTATTAAAATATTGTCCCTCTTTTCTTGTCTAAGGTTACTTAGAGACGCAGCCGAAATTTCATCCCAGATACTCTGACCACAAATTATTTCTTTCTACCAAATTGGAGCTTATCTAATACGTGTGCCTAGAATGGATTAAAATCGTGCCAGTGGTTGGGCACAGTGGCTCACACCTGTAATCCCAGCACTTTGGGAGGTCCAAAGGATCACTTGAGCCCAGGAGTTCCAGGCCAGCCTAAGTAACAGAATGAGGCCCTGTATTTACAGAAAATTAAAAAATCAGCCAGGTGTGGTGGTGTATGCCTGTAGTCCCACCTGTGCAGGAGGCTGAAGCGAGAGGATTGCTTGAGCCCAGGAGATTGAGTGAGCCGTGTTCACAGCACTGCACTCCAACATGGGCAAGAGAATAGAAATTCATGAATCTAGGCTGGGATAAGTAAGTAAATTAATAAATTGAAAATTTGATGAGGATGAGATATTTACATAATCTCAATGTATCACCCTACAAAATATGAAGTACAAAACTAAAAAGATTAATTTTAACCTGAAGAAGCCTGGCACATATCACCTTCATCAAATAATCTAAGTTAGCATCCCAGTTATGGGACATCACTTCTGTGATATTCCTGGCCAAATTGGATCACTCAAATTTAATCATGAGGAAACATAAGACAATCCAAATGTGAAGGACATTCTACAAAGTAACTGGTGTATATCTTCAAAATTGTCAAGGTCAGAAAAGCCAGAGACTGAAGAACTGTTCCAGCTTGAAAACTGAAGAGACTTGACAACTAAGTGCAGGATGTGATTTTTAACTAGCCCCTTTTGCTATAAAGGACAGTATGGAACAAATGATGAAACATGAATGGGGTCTTTAGATGGTGGTAGTAATATGAATTTTCTGATTTTGTTGGTTACTTCGTAACTACAAAGGAAAGTACCCTTGTTCACAGGAAAATTACACTGAATTATTCAAGAGTAATAAGGCCTAATGTTGGCAACTTACTCTCATATGACTCAGGGGAAAAAAAAGTCTTTTGGACTGCAGTTGTAACTTACATTTTGCGCTTATTTTTTAAGAAAATCTTATTGCCCAAATGAACTCCTCTATCTATCACAGACACTTCAAGGCTTAATGTAAATCTTTCTATCTCAGTGTTCTTTATTAGTCACTCTAATTTAAATGTTGCTGCTTTCAATATCTCTTTCTTGAACATGTACAGAATATCCTTTATGTCTTCACTGGGTGTGTTAATACTTATTGTGAATTGCCCTATAACCTTATCTGACCAAGTTATCTTGGGCATTACCTGGCCTTCTCAGGGAAATAAAATTACTCAAGGGCACTGAACATATATATTTTTGCATCAGCTAGTTTGTGTAGCCATATAGTCTAGATTTTGTAATACAGTCAACAAAATTTTGTATTTAGGAAATTTGATAATGTATATCTAACAATTTTTTAAATTTACATTTTCTATAAATATATAATCTTATTTTCCCTTTTCCCACATCCTTAAATAAAAAACAGTTATACCATGCCTGATATTGTTTTTGAGATGTACAATAATAAAAACAAATTGTATAAAACAGCAGAGGAAAAAAGCCAATATAACATATTTCTTTGATTTTTGGGGGGGAGGGGCGTGAGCATTGTTCAGCCATAAGCAAACAGTATATCCATAGACACTGACATAGGCTGTGCATCACCCCAAGCTTCCTTATGAAGTAAATTTCTCAACAGGCATGGAATATACATCTTCAAGCTCTTCTGTTGAATTGCAGCCAGTTAGGCAGCTGTAAGTTAAATAAAACTTTTTGAGAACTTGGCCTGTTTTAGAAGCTCATATGGTTTCTTCACTGAAGTCTTTATTGAAGCTCAGTTATTTGGACACAGAAAGACAAACTCTTTCTTTCTCTGACATTAAAAATATATGGATACTATAATTGATAAAACTGCTAGGATTTGGGGTGTATTTGTAAAATTTTCACACCATTAGTAAGCTTGACAAATCCTAATACTATTTTTAAATACAAAACAAAGCTTTACTAACAAAGAAACAAAGGAAAAAGAGCATCGGCCTAGTTTCTTTAGGGAGTAGAAATAGCATTAATCTAATTACTGTGACCTAATTATTTCAAAAATGGTATAATTCATTTCAGTTTGGTATCAGCTCTTGATCCACAATATCATCTTTGCCTTCTGTGTTGTAGGAACTTTACAGTGGTAGCAGAGACTGCAACATTCTGGCTTGGGTTCCATCCTTATACGAACCAGTTCCTGATGATGATGAGGTAAACATTATTTTCACAAATTGTATAGTGACTTCTAAATCATAAGAAATAATGTTTTGTTCCTTTATATGAGAGAGACTTTAAAGCATTTCTTGCCAGTGGCATGCACCTATAGTCTCAGGTACTTGGGAGACTGAGGCAAGATGATCACTTGAGCCTGGAAATCAAGACCAGCCTGGACAATGTGGTGAGACCCCATGTCAAAACAACAACAACAAAAAAGCATTTCTTGGCATTTTCTGTAAAAATAATTTGACTGTTTTAATACATTTTGAAAATTCAGAGAAATATAAAAAGAACATAAAATTCCTCAAATCAAATTAATCAATTTTAACATTTTGATTTGTTTCATAACTGTTTTTTCCTATGAATATGTTTTTTAACATAGTTCATATCATGGTTGGACATTCAATTTGGTATCTTACTTTTCTCATCAACATTGTACAATAAACCTTTTTTCATGTCATTAATAACTATGTGTAAACATTTCTAATGATATATTATTCTGTCATTGATAAAACACAATTTAAATATTTACCTCGGAGGAATTTCTGTTGATTATTATAAATATCAAGGTAAATATCTGTTAAAAAATTGTTAATATTTCTGACTATGTCTTTAGATAGATTCCTAGAAGTGGAATTATCTCTTAAATTATTATATATGACTTTTTTTCTTTTCTTTTCTTTTCTTTTTTTATTTTTTTATTTTTTTGAGATGGAGTCTCACTGTGTCACCCAGGCTGGAGTGCAGTGGCGCAATCTCAGCTCACTGCAACTTCAGCCTCCTGGGTTCAAGCAATTCTCCTGCCTCAGCCTCCCAAGTAGCTGGGATTACAGGTGCCCACCACTGCACCTGGCTGATTTTTGTATTTTTAGTAGAGATGGGGTTTCACCATGTTGGTCAGGCTGGTCTTCAACTCCTGGCCTCAAGTGTTCCACCTGCCTTGGCCTCCCAAAGTGCTGGGATTACAGGCATGAGCCACCACTCCCAGCCGACATTTTTAAGACTTTATTCTCATGTCAAATTTTACCAGTTTACACCCCTACCAGCAGTCTGACAGTGCCTTTCATATAAAATAAATCAGTATAAACATGACAGTGTAAATACAGACCTTAAAAACACAGTAGGTAAACAAAGATGAACAAGACCATTGTCCCTGACCTAAAGTAATAGCTTCTGTATTTCTTTTTTAGCTTTTGCATCAAGCAGGTGGAAGATACAGGCTGTTTAAAGGTGGTTTCTGTCCCACAAGGTTTATTCTCCTAAGCACTCTTAATCATCCTCATTTATCTTAATTTCTACAATATAAAAAATCCAAATGCAATGTCTAAAAACAAAGTTTATATATATATGTGTATATTTCTTTAATTTGGAAATATAGATAATGTAGTTATAAATACCTTAAGGTAATCTTAACCAAGTCATAGTAAAAGCATCTTAAATGGAGGTGGAGGAAAACTTACTGGTAAAGCACTTTTGATGTTCAGAAAACATTTTTCATATACTGTGTTTAGTTCCTTCATAAAACTAGGACTATGTCAAAAACCACATGAAAATATAATTTGTATAAAGGTAGTTGATAGCATCTCAGAGCTATTGACAATATGTATTTCATACCTAAATTTTCAACTGCTAGGGTTTACTACAGTACAAACCTGTGAATTATTTTCTTTTGTCCTTAATCCAAAGAAAGAGAAAAAAAATACGCTTTGATAAATCTTTAAGTAGCCAGCCAATGCCATATGCATACTTCCAGATTTTATCACATGTCTAATTTGGTTTATTGTGGCTTGATTAACTTTAGCATACAGCTGCTTTTGATGTCAGAATATTCTTCTGTATAAAGCTTAGTATGGTCAAATAATTAGATTTAGCCATTTATTTTACATTTCATTATGTAATTATTGTGTCTTGCTCTTTGGGAATTGCTGTATACATTAAAACCAAGTTATAACACTGTAAGCCATGTTAGGAAGTTAACATTTTATTTACCAAATGAAAACATTAAAAATGAATGAAAAATAAATCTATAGTGACTTATGTATAGAAAAGGATGTTAGAAGAATACTAAATTGTTTAATTCATAAAGATAATATGTGGCCAGGTGTGGTGGCTCACATCTGTAATCCCAGCACTTTGAGAGGCTGAAGTGGAAGAATCACTTGAGTCCAGGAGTTCAAGACCAGCCTAGGCAACATAGAAAGACCCCCATCTCTACAAAAAATAAACAAAATTAGCCAGGTTTGGTGGCTTTCACCTATAGTTCCAGCTACTTAAGAGGGTGAGGTCAGAGGATCACTTGAGCCCAAGAGTTCAAGGCTGCAGTGAGCCACAATTGCACCACTATACTCAAAGCCTGGGTGAGAGTGAGACCTTGACTCAAAGAAAAAAAAGATAATATGTGACTGATGGTTTATTTCCTTGTTATGTCATTATAGTGATAGTTTGAACTCTTTGTGTAAACAAACTTGTATATATGAGAAATTAAGCAAAACAAGTTAGAAAATCACATAGAGATATACAAAAATCAAGTTGACCTTTGTATTTGTTTTAGTGCTATAAAACCTTACCTTTTAAAATGTCATGTTCATATATTTAAAGATAGCAGTCATTCTCATACTAATATAAAATGGTATGTGCTAAGGTTATTCCCGTAAAATTTCAGCTTGAAACATTCCTGTGAATATATGAATGTGATCATAATGCAGATCCCAGTAGAATAGTCTGTCCAGAATACCCTATTCCTTACATGTATGTTTATAATTTAAGCCATGTTTAAAAGTGCTTTTATCCCAACTATAAAATAAGTATATTTATTTGATATTTATTTCCCAAGGAGGCAGTGTACCACACTACAAAACAAAAGAACACACACACGTATACATACACATACTTAGTCTTTAGCTTCAGGAAACTGGGTTTGAATCCCAGTTCTGCCATTTATTATACTTATGATCTGGGACAAGCTCATGATATTTCCAAACATCAGAATTGTCTAATCAAACTTATTCTTAGGTTTCCTTTCAAATGCATTCTTCAGATGAGAGTTACCTCCCCATCAACCAAGATAATCCCTTAGGGGTGTTTCTCCTGATATCCAAAGTAGAAGATGAATTTAATTCTGTCTAAAGAAAGGAAGAACACTGGATGATAGGGACAGGATTTGTGGTCTTTAACTATAAATCCTTTTATTTAATTGGCAGACTCTTTTATTACATTTTGAGGAATGTGGCTTCCTTTTGACCCTACTTTCTAAAAGCTGGTCTGGTCAAGACAAGCCTATCTATAACTCCTAATTACTTTTTCCTGCCTGAGATCTATAGGGCGGGTTTATTCCAGTTTACACGTGACCTCTCACTAAGAATCTTACTTTGTTTTGACATTCACACAATATATAACTGTTTTACATACCACTTGTGTCGATGTACTTGCTAACAAACAACCCTGAGACTTGCCACTAATTACCAGTCAGAAATTTGAAAGTTATCAAGAAATATCCTTGTAGATGTTAAGTTTGGTTCTATTTCTTCTCTAAACTCATAACTAGGTCCCCTCTAAACTCATGCTTCATTATTTCTATAACATTGACACTATCTGTCAGTAGAACTGACAACCTGGTGAGATATAGATGAATATGTTCAAGCACAGACTGGATGTCTACTAGGAGGAGATGTAGAGAAAACTGAAATAATAGTAGTGACACTTGATCAGTGGGTCTCAAATGGTAATGTGTACCATATCCATCTACCACATTTTTACTGCAGCTTTATCATACTACCAGTATAATATTTTATTTGTGATTGTTTTGGCAATAAAATATATTTCTAAAATACTGTAATGCATTCATATATCATTGTGTCACTGAAAAGTGAAATAATTTATATGCAACTGATTATGATTTTCATTTGTTTCTTTGCTTACCATACAAAAATAACATATAATGAAGTGTAATTTTGCTTTTCTGTTGAGTTTTCAACTGAAATTAAAATTTTTAATAGGTTACACACTAGGTTTCCATAGTAGGATTAGGAAGCATGGCCCTTGTGTGGCTTATCCACCTAGGGACGTGTGTGTGTGTGTGTGTTTTCCCAGGGCTATTTTTGGTAGCTATCAAAGGCAAAGTTAAAGGCTTCTAGAGACAGAGTAGGGAAGAGTAGTCAGCTAACCCCTAATGACAAGATGTCTTTTAATAAACTCTCACTAAATAACGTAATTTAATAGTTAAATTGAAAACCCAAAAAGACAGGAAATTCAGTAAATGTTTGGATGAAAGAATAAATGAAGAGACTTCAGTATACAACTGTTGCGAATAAGTGGACTGTGGCTAGAAATCGGTGAGTAGTTAGCTGAGGTTTAATAATAGTTTCATGGCCGGGAGCAGTGGCTCACGCCTGTAATCCCAACACTTTGGGAGGCCAAGGCTGGTGGATCACGAGGTCTGGAGTTCGAGACCAGCCTGGCCAATATGGTGAAACCCCATCTCTACTAAAAATACAAAAATTCGCCGGGTTTGGTGGCGGGCACCTGTAGTCCGCGCTACTCGGGAGGCTGAGGCAGAAGACTCGCTTGAACCCGGGAGGGAGAGGTTGCAGTGAGCCGAGATCATGCCACTGTACTCCAGCCTGGGCAACAGAATGAGACTCCATCTCAAATAATAATAATAATAATAATAATAATAATAATAATTTTGTATCTGGACATTTGGAGTATAGTCGACATTAGGCTTAATAATGTAATCTGTTTAACAGTAAAGAACGCCTAAATTAGTATATTGTTTTCCAACTATTCTAGCTGATACTTGGGAAATTTACTGGGAACACTTAACTTTTTCTACTGTTTTCATTGTTCGAATTGTAAGATTCACAGTTACATTCATCAAAAGAAAAATAAACATTCTCAGACATGCAGTAGGGGTTATCCTTAAAAAATATTTCTGTAAGTTATAAAAGGCAGTACATCTAAAATAATTTAACAGTAGTCTCGATGCTAATACAGCATTGGAATTGGAATCTGAATAAAATTGTAGCAGTTGTAAAAGTTGCACAAAAAGAAGCAAACCTGGCTCATAATACGCAGTTACTTTAAAAATGAGACCAAATAAGCCCTTTTAGTTATTTGCAAGAGAATCAGAAGTAGCTATTCAGAAGTTTTCCCCAAAATGAACTGATTTGAAATACCACAGATGATTAAAATTGCTCTAGTTGCTAATCACCTTTTTCTTGTTTTAAATAAACATCATCTAGATAGATGTTATCCTTCAGACAAATCCCTGAGGGAAACCTATGTGCTGATTATAAACATGTTACCATTTCTGACCTGTTTTGCATGTTTTACTGAACTGCCCTACCAACCTATAAAAATAAGTAAATAAATATCACTACTTACAAATAAGTACATAAATATCACTACTTAATAACCCACATTGGCCGGGCGCGGTGGCTCAAGCCTGTAATCCCAGCACTTTGGGAGGCCGAGACGGGCTGATCACGAGGTTAGGAGATCAAGACCATCCTGGCTAACACGGTGAAACCCTGTCTCTACTAAAAAATACAAAAAACTATCCGGGCGAGGTGGTGGGCGCCTGTAGTCCCAGCTACTCGGGAGGCTGAGGCAGGAGAATGGTGTTAACCCGGGAGGCGGAGCTTGCAGTGAGCTGAGATCCGGCCACTGCACTCCAGCCTGGGCGACAGAGAGAGACTCTGCCTCAAAAAAAAAAAAAAACAACACATTATTTTTGGACTAAAAAGTATTTTTCAGCTTGAATACCTTATTCTCCATATTTGGGTATTTGTTTATTTATAAAAGTTATTTTCATCTAAACAATTAAAGAGTTGCCAACATTGATATTTTGGGCTGTCAGATCAGACTGTACACCTGGAGTCCAGTCTTAGCCCATGGATATCAGAGTGCCACTTTCACCAGATAATTCGAAAGAGTTGTTGAGAAATACCTTGAGAAATAGCAGCATCATAGTATATGTATGTATGTATGTATGTTTGTATGTATTTGTGAGGTGATTAAAGAAAACGATGTTTGGGTAAAGTCTCGTATTGTCTGTTTAAAATGAAGTTACATTATCTTATATTGTATATGCGTTGTTTCTTATATTATTTTTGTTCTGAAATTAACAGTTTTACATTTTCTTCCAAAATAATGTAATTGCTATTTATCTGATATATTTTGTAACTTTATTATGAGCCTAAAATTATGAAGTAGAAAAAACAGAACCTTCCTTTTTCTTTTTTTTTTCTTTTTTTAGACTACAACAAAATCACAATTAAATCCAGCCTTTGAGGATGCCTGGAGCAGCAGTGATGAAGAAGGATGAATATCACCTTTAGTACCTTTGTGTCTCGGCTGAAACTTTTTAAATGAGACCGTATGTTTTTTTCAACTGTACGGTCTATTCCTGACAGCTAAATTAGCCCTAAATGTGGGTAATTTTTTTCCTCATGTTTTAAAATGAGGTTAATATTTGCATAAAATTCTAAAACAGGCTTCTGTGTAGTTTATTTAGTCAAAATGTGTTCCTTGATCCCAGATGCTGTGGCCTGGGGAAGCCCTCCTTGCTACAGTACAAGTACACAAGTCATTGTACCTCAATTATGACCTTCAGCAGATTTTATGAACTATAAGATGCAGTCTCAGAGGATCAGCAAGTGGAGGCCACCAGTATTGACTTTCTCTTACTTGCTATACTATCAGCCTGCTCATTTCCACCTTCAAGAATGATTTTGCCAAGAATAATTATATCAAAAATAGTAGTTGAAATGGTAACATCAAAATTATTTTATTCTTTCTTCTTCATGTATTCACATTTTTCAATGGTTTCATTTAATTAACCATGCTTTATGTTAAACATTTTTGGGCTTAATGTCTCCTACAATCCAAAATGTGCATCACAGGAGGCTTTTAACTTTGTGAAAATCCCATGTTTGCTTTATTTTATTTTAATGTCAGAAGGCAGTTTGCACTAATGCTTGAACTCTTTTTTTTATGAAACTCATTAAGATATGACGAAATCCTGCCTCATTAATTCAAGCAGAAAATATCCTGGCAGGGAATCTGGCTTAAATATGAAATGTTGTAATAAAATTTCTATGTTACTGTCTCCTGTGTCAACCCACAAGTGATTATCATGAAGGTAACCTTAATATTCCCTTCCTGA